GGGAGTGCAAAATGGAGATAAGGAGGCAAGGGAGGAGGACGGGGGCTGGGCCTTTCGTGCAGGTGCCGGCTTCCTGACCTCGGGCAAGGGCAGCTGGATGATAAAGGGCCTCGCGAGCTAGCCACCCCCCAGCTCTTCAGTCAGGCACCGTGACCGCCCCCCCAGCAAAAGATTGCCACCTTCTTGGCTCCATGCTCTTTTGCCGGCCTTGCCTTTCGTGCTGTGTCTGAACAGGGTTGTTGTTGTTTTTTTTGCACGATGAAAATAAAGAGGCGGAGAGCTGTTGTTACTTCTAAGACAGGTTGCTTTAAAAGGCACGAACCTGTTGGACTGAGGATTTGCTGGAAAATGTACATGCCTAGGGAACTCTGCAGTTGTGGTTCTTTCCCATGGGCTTTGCGGGACCTGCTATTTCGGGGTTTGGCCATTGGCAATGGGACCTTCAGCTATGGGCAAAGCCCTTAAAAAAATCTTATCAGAATCCTGAAACACTCCCCCCCCCAAAAAAAATGTTGATTACAATGGAATAGTGGTTCCCAGTCTTAGGTTTGCAGAGGTTCTTCGATGAAATCTCCCAGAAGCTGTGCTGCCAGGATTTCTGGGAGTTATAGTCCAAGAACATCTGGGGCCCCATGGTTGGGAACTACTGGATTTGAACAATTTGAGTGGCTTCTTTAAAAACTGTGTGTGAATAATGCACTGACAGGTGGACTAGTAACATATGGGAGTTTATTTACATGGTTGACATAGTGAATGTGTTTGTGTGTTTTGTGCTGCAAAACCTGAACTGATTTATAGCGACCCTAATAGAGCTTTCAAGGTTAAGTGAGATATTTAAGGAGTGGTTTTACCCCAGTGAGTTTTCATAGCCAAGTAGAGATTTGAACCCTGTTCTCCAGAGTCCTAATCTGTTGCACTGTCCACCACACCACACTGTGAATCTGTCATAAGGAATACACTGGCTGAAATCCTGTTGCTTAGTGTAGCAAATCAGACTAGAATAGGCTCGTTGAATCAGTGGGGATTCCTCTGTAAGTTCCATTGATTCAAGTGGGCGTATTGTGCTCATGACTTACTTTAGCATGGTAAGTCACAATGAAAGGTGAACCACTGGAATTTATGGAAGAGTTGGCTCATAAAATCCTCACTGATAATTGCAACTTACTATGCTAACCAACAAGAGTTCAACTACTGCAAGCAAGAATGAAACAAAATTTTACTCAAAAATACCACCCTGGTCCCCAGAATAGTGTAGCTAGCAATCCAGAGCTTACACAGATCTTTTGGCTGTCCCCATCAATTATGTTCTTATGGAAAGAACCAGCATCTGCTGAAGACTCGGTGCATATGGGCAACAAGAACGGAATGCTTTTTCCCCCTCTTGTGACTCCAGACCAGATATATCAAAAGAGGCGATGAAGATAAAAACGGATGCCATATACTGTAACATTTGTTCATTGTGAACAAGTTTCAGGCATGGGTTGACTAGGCCAGCAACTTTTTTCTTAGATTCAGCCCTCCGAGATTTGCATTACAGTATAAGGATAATAATGCTCATTAGCATAACAGCTTTGTTGTGATGGTTACTGAACTAACCTACATGAAATTCTTCAAATACAAAGCTATCGCCTGTTTTGTGGTACATGGCTTGTGTAGTTTGAGTGGGCTCTGAAGGAAGATGGAAATGTCAGCGTAAGCAAAAGTTTGCTTTTAATACAATGTGCTGATTTAACCAGGAGAAGAAAGACAGAGGACCAAAGCATGTTGCAGAACTTAGAAACAAAAAATACAATTATCAGACTGCTAAAAAAAAAAATCAGAAACATAAGCTAGCTTTTGACCCTCTACTGGTTTTCACCACAGAGCTGTAAATGGTGCAGAGAAAACAGAAAAGCTCCAAAACCCATGGCCAGATGTGCTTCCCAGGTTTCTTTGTTCTAATTAAATTTCAAAATAAGTCTTAGACTACAGACTGAAGTCAGGTGTCTGGTTTCAAATTCCAGTTCTGCTGGGGTTTCTTTAAAAAATCTGTCACAATCTTATTGCACAACAGCCACTCATTTAGCCGCCTCCTCTACATTATCCTCTATGGAAAGGAAAGGTTCTTTTTTTTGTTAGGAACAGAGGGACACAGAAATGTGGCAAACCCCAAATCAGAGAAATTGGGGTAATCCTGTTTAGCCATGATTTTGATCTTTCCTCTTTTTTTCTATACCTCCCTAGTGTTGTGGCACCTTCTGAATGGGGTCAAAAGCTAGTTATTGTTACTAGCTTTTTAGTTGTCTGATAAAGATTTATCCACCTTTGTCCTTGGATTGTCCTTGGTTTTGTTTGTTTGTGGAAAATGTTATGTATCCTTCAATATCTGTGTGTATGTCTCTCTCTTTCTCTCCCCTCCCCCATGTTCATGTACTCCCATAACAGCAGTAGCAAAGTCTTTGTTATAATACTTGGATGGGTGTTTTAATTTTCTTCCTCATACATATAAATATTATGGGTCAGAGAACGCAAATAAAGATTGATTGATTGAGATTGATTGGATGGGTGAAGGGCTGCTGCTATATAGTTTCACCCCAATATTTGGGCTCATTAATGTGAACATATCATTTGATATACGTACAACACGATGCAATTGTACATTTTCAAAAAAAAGTACACATTTAAAACAATTTAAAATTTGAATTTTTGGGAAAACAGAGATTTTTAAACTTCATAAAATTCACACTTAAAGATATATGTCTTGTAGCCAGTCAATCCAAATTTCAGGCCGGTGTCTCAATGGTATCATACAAAACTTAAAGGAGGCAGTACGGACCATGGTGGAAAGCTGAGGATGAGCAGCTCACTGTGAGGGCATAGAGCAGAAAGGACTCAACTGCAGATGAAAGGCATTTAAGGAAGTGGAAACTAAATGGAATGACAGGAGCAAAGGAGAGGTTTCAAAATATTGGCTGCTTGGTCCTGCTCCCACAGACAAAGGAATATTGAAGGGAGTGGGGACATTTAAAGATACAGGGCCAGTCTGTTGCAATAGGCTGGAATCAGGGGGAAATGTTAGCAGAAAAAAAACCCCACAGCATGGTTAAACACTGTATCCTCCTCGCTGGAAGCCACATCCTTTGTTGTTCACCAGAGATAAATATTTCGTTGTTAGGAACTCTTACTGTATTTGTGAAGGGCTGCACATAATAAAAGTCCTCTATGAGTAAATATGCAGGAAAATAAAGTAGTTTCTAACTGCCATTAAAACACATTGATGTGGGCACCAGTGGAGCTTCTTGGGATACCATAATGCAGAAAATATCTGCTGGGAGCATCTGGAAAAGGACCACTTAAAATTATTTTTCTGCAAGGGCAAAGCTTTCCTTGGATATTAAAGTCCCAAGATAGGTAGATCTTTAAAAGGTGAGCACCAGACACCAGCACTTTGAACTCACTTCCCAAGTGATCCCAGAGTGAATTAAGATCTTTCAGCAGGAACAGATTTTGCCAGTGAGACTGATTTCTGACAGTACCTTAACAACTACATATTGTTTTCGGATAATCTTGCACTGAAGTAATGTAACCTGATACTTTTTGCAAATCAGTGCCTACGAATTAAGCCTATCTTTGACTTCAGTTCTAATTAGTGCTTATATGACTTAAATACCGTAGAGGGTCAAGTTAAAGGGTAAGGCTTAATTTGTAAAAATAATACTGCCCTACAAAAATGTATGAATTTTAAAGTGCAATGATTGCAAAAACTCTGTCCATTATTATGAGCATTTGGACTGAGTTTTGGTCAGTCCACTAGGATAGGAGGCCCTGGTAAATGAGAGAGATTTATGTTACTCTCAAGATACTGCCCAAGACATACAAATGATAACTGGTATGTAAAGTACATAGAATTATGTGTGAAATAGTTTGTTTTTTGTTTGTTTGTTTTAAAACACAGTTTTGATTTAGTATTAACTGATGTTCTTCATCCTCATACACAGTTGTTATATGGTTACATTCTGTGCTTAACATGCAAAGTGACCCTGGTTGTTAATGTGTTTCAGTATGGCTCTTGTTGCTGAAGAAGCTGCAGGCTTTTCCCATGAGTAGGCATGATTAGTTTGACGTTCATGGTCCTCCTCATTTGCAAATGTAAAAAAAGAGGTTTTTTTAAAAAAATTACCACAATGAGAGGTGAAATGTGTTAATGTATTAAGAGATAATTTTGAATAATTGTGAAACTACACATCCAAACATAAAGCCATGACTTCTGTGCAAAAAGAAGCCTTCAGAATTTCCTTACCTGTTCCACTATAACAAATAGCATCCCTCACCTCTCCTCAGGTGGTTGCTGTGCTTGGAAGCTTACTGGTGAATAGAAAAGGAAAACAAGGGCAGATCCCTCACAAGTGACTGCTATACAGCCACTCTTTGCAGCCTGAAATGGACGGTGGGAAGTTTACCTGCCTGGTTTGCAATCACTGACCAGGAAAGCTGGCTGTAAAGTCATTGTAGCAGTGTGAGATTCAGGGCAATCCTTTCAACCCAATCCGTGGGCTACATCAAGGTTCTTCTTACACCAACACAGGTCTAAATTCATTCTGTTGCCAAAGCTAGCTAGAAGCCAGGGAGCTAGAATAAAGTAGTCACTGGTAGTAGTTAGACGAGTAACCTGGCCCAGTCTGCTAGCCATTCAGATGGGTGAAACAAGAATCTGGCGTAGCACTTCGAGTTTTGGACCAGTGCTTAGGAGACCTGGCCACGCAACACACCAATTGTCCTTGGGTGCAATTGTACATTTTTCTTCCTTCCCTAGCTCACAGGGGTATTAGGAGGATGAAGTGGAAGAAAAGGTACCAAGTATGTTATGTTGAGCTCCTTGGAGGAAAGGTGGGGAACAAAGAGAGGTTCTCTTTTGATCATGGGATTAGAGTCCACGAGACTCTCAGTGCACTTTCTTTTAAAAAGTGACTCTGGGGAGATTCCAGTCTGTTAGTCAGCTATCAAAAGCAACAAGCGCCCTAATGGCACCATAAAGGCTAAGAACTTCATTATATTGTGAACTTTTGGGGACCGTACATGAGTTTACAAAAGGTCATGTGAGAATGAATTTGTTAGTATTTAAGTTGCTACAGAATCCTTTGTTGTCTTTGGAGAAAGTAGGAGCTTAGCTTAGGGCTCTGCAAGGAGAGGAAGAAAATAAAAACTACTTGAGGGCAAAGGTGAAGCTTGAAGCAATTTATCTGTTTGTTTAAGCTGACTGAAGTGCAACAAGATGGCAAATAATTCATCTGTTTGTTTAGCTGAATGAAGCGCAGTAAAATGACAAATATATATATATAAAAGCAAATTATGCTGCCAGGTGGTTTTCTTCCTTTTAAGGTGAACCAACCATATTTATGTGTCTTCTCTTAGACAGGATAACCTCAGGCGCTGAGATAACAATATGGATGACAGTCCATGCCCAAAGAATTTGACATCAGTGTCAGATGGCTATGAATTAACCGCCACAACCGTCTTTATTTTACCTTGTTTGTGCTACCTGGAAGTTTTCTGGAGGAATACATTAGGGTTAAAGTGGGAATTTCTGCTGTTTTAAAATGGTATTTATTTGAGGGGGGGTTCTCTTTGATCTTTCAGAATGAAAAAGGACCACTGTGTTGTGGCAAAGTGAAGTCAAAGAATGCAGAGGCCATAGAAAGGATTATCTGCAACTCTGCACAGCATCCCAAGTCACGTTTTGTTTTTTTACATTTTCATTTATTTCAGAAATCTAGTAGCCTCCCTACCGCCCTGTTTTTCTTTATTATATGTGCTCCATTTTTCTCAGGAATGTAGTTTGTTCTTTAGGTTTGGTCATTTTAAAAAGTTGGTTATGTACAGATACAGCTGTGAGAGCAAGAAAAAAGGAGTGATGTTCTCTGAATTTGGAGTCAGAAGCAGTTAAGACTCATTTAATCCTGTAAAAGTATTCAAATACTTTAGTAGCTGTTGGTGAACAACAGGCAAAGAGGTGGAAATGTTTAGCCTGTTTATAATGGGAAAGTCCCATCTCTTCAGGCAGGCTTTTAACAACTATAACTGAATCCCTGAACCCCATTTTAGCAAATAATTTTAATTTTTTTATGTTTTAATTGTATTTTAAATCATATATTGTTTATCTTTTAATTTTTAACTTACTGTATTTTTAAATTGTATGAATTTTAATGTTGTGAGCTGCTTTGGATCCCTTGTTGGAACAAATGCAGCATATAAATAAAACTATAGTACGTGCTACTAATAATAATAATAATAATGAAAAGTGGAGGTGGAGCAGAACCTGGCTGTGATGAGGAACATTGCGAAATACAGGTCCAGATAAATTTCAGAGATAGTGTATGAAGAATGATACATTGTTAATTAGGCTTTGAATTTCACCTTAAAAGTCCAGAAGTGGGGTGTCAGTTGAGACAGATCGCTTATGCAGGATTATGGTCCTGCGTATTGTTTATTCTTAGATTTTTTAATTGTGCCTTTAGTATACATATTCTCGGAAAAGTTCATGCTGTTAATAAGAATAAAAGCTGTTGCAGATCTGTCCTTATCATTTGGACAACTGGATTCTCCCCCACCCCCCAGGCAACATCTCTCTGTGTTTGGCATAACTAGGGGCGTATAAACAAGAGCAGTGTCTTGTGCATATCGTAGTTCAGGTTTTGTTCATGCACCTGAATTTTGTTTACATAGAACAAAGTGCCATTTTATTCACTCACTTCCCTTTTCCCCCCTTCCTAGAAAAGAACACTCCTGTGAAAAAAACAAGAGGAACAAGAAGCAGCATGATGGATTCAGAGGACCTAGTTCTAAACAAGTCAAAGGCGGACCAACTTGGTCATCGAACAGTAAACGTTACCTCAGGCAAACATTACTTCTGTGGCTATTGTGCTGCTGTCACAAATGTGGCCGTCACCTTCCCCCTCCAGAAGGTCCTCTTTCGGCAGCAGCTGTACGGCCTGCGAACCAGGGATGCCATAAGCCAGCTGCAGAAAGATGGGCTCAGGAATCTCTACCGTGGCATCCTCCCGCCACTGATGCAGAAGAGCACTGCTCTGGCGCTAATGTTTGGTTTGTATGAGGACCTGTCTTCCATACTCCTGAGGCACATGAGTGCGCCAGAACTCTTGACCCGGAGTGTGGCGGCTGTGCTTGCTGGTACCACTGAAGCGGTGCTGACTCCTTTTGAACGTGTCCAGACGCTTCTGCAGGATTACAAATATCATGACAAATTTACAAATACCTTCCAGGCGTTCAGATTTCTGAAAGAGCATGGGCCCAGGGAGTACTATCGGGGTCTGGTGCCGATTCTGCTTCGGAACGGTCCTAGCAATGCTCTTTTCTTTGGCCTGAGGGGACCCATCAAACAGTGTTTGCCTGAAGCAACCACTTACAGTACTCATTTGATCAACGATTTCATCTGTGGAGGGTTATTGGGCGCTATGCTGGGATTCCTGTTTTTCCCACTGAATGTGGTTAAAGCCCGCATGCAGTCACAAATTGGTGGGGAATTCCAGTCTTTTTCCAAGGTTTTCATGAAGATTTGGCTAGAGCGTGACAGGAAAGTAACACACCTTTTCCGAGGGGCCCACCTGAATTACCATCGGTCCCTGATTTCCTGGGGCATAATCAATGCAACATATGAATTCTTGCTCAAACTCCTGTGAAACTCCCTGCTTGTGGGTTTCTTCTCAGTTGTTGGGCATCAGATAACAATGAACCATCAATTTTCAGAGAATAATCAAAATGCCCTAGAAACACAGAGCTCCATAATGCTTGTGGAAACCTGAATGCAAAATGAAAGTTCTTTCAATAGGTTATGGATGCCAGTTATTTTAATCAGTGCCTACTCAGGTCAAACTGTAATTGCGTTCACTCTTATTAATGGTCTTTCATTCTGTCGGTGTCTGCAGTATGCCTAAAGTGATTGAAAAGTTTCCTGGAACATACGAAGGATGCCAGAAAGTGGATTTACTCAGAAACAACAACAAAAAACTGAATTTGCTAATGGCCTGTTAACAGTTTGTTCCAGATAACCTTCAGCTTTTCTCAGCACTCCTGGTGATCCAAAGAATGCACTTTGAGGAAATTAACAGGGAAGAAGACTGATACTATATGTGTTGCTTGGCCATTTTGTAATAGATATTGGGATGTTGGAATAAATGGGCCTTAAGTTTTCATGTTGCTTTAAGTCACACACACATAAACAGAAATATCTATCTTTATATTTAAAAAAAACACCTGGAAAAAGAGACTGCCAAATTCAGAAGCGAAATCTCTACTGCTAAAATACAAGGTTCTGTAAATCTTGTTAAACAGTTTTTACTACATTGTTGATACAAATGATATTGTGTCAAGATTTCCTATTACATTTCAGAAACTGAGTTCACTGTACACCCAGTAGTGGGCATGTCTGTTTAAAACCTAAATATCTTGGTGGCTGCGGGAAAAACATGGAGAAAAACTGCCATCTGAAAAGCTTTAAACCGTCCTTCATATTATGTTGCCACTAGAGACGGGGGTATTCATATATACGAATATCCCCACACACTTGTACATAACAAGGGTTCAGCCCCCTGGGGTTGAAGCGTCCACTCACACGTCTGCTGGTGGCGGCTCCATTCTCCCTTCCAGTTGCTCCAGAGCTCCCAGTTGGCTAGCTACTCCTGGCAGAAGGAGGAAAGACCAGTCCCCCTGCCAGGTTGACGAGTGGATAGCTGACCGCAAACTCCAGAACAATTGGAAGGGAGAGTGGAACTGCCACCGCCAGCAGACATGTGAGTGGACGGTCTGACCCCAGGGGCCTGGACCCTCGTTATGTCCAGCTGTACAAGGGTATTTGTATATGAATACCCCCATCTCTAATTGTTACTTAACCCATCCATTTAGATTTTTGTTCACCCTGTGTTCCGCTAACTTTGACACATGTGCATACCTTAAATAGAATTTTTTTTTTAAAAAAAAAATACTTTTCAGCTTTGGTAAGTATGGTGGAAATCAGCACTTGGGCAATCCAACCATTATGAAGAATTCTAAAATCCAGGGGTTTTGGCACTTAATTGCATCTAACTTATTTGTATTATAAATTAATGTAGAGTAAGTGACATATCTGGGAGTAACTGGTGCCACTCTCAGTGTAATCCACCGTGAGAGAGGCATTCATAGAATGTCATCACATGCTGCTGCTCAAGCATATAGTTTATATTGGAAAATAGGATTGTGCCTCCACCTCTTTCCCTCTTTTCTGCACATCCTTTAATATGATTGGATGTTTGCACAAGTAGGCCTGGCTTGAAAGATACTCCCTTTCACAGTAGAGAGATGATTTGATGGGGGCTCAACCTTAGGTATCGCCTACACCAAGTCTGTGAATTTAGCTCCTTGTATATTGTAAAGGACTATGCAAGTACATGAGAAGGAAGGCGGAATCCTTAAGTATCACATGGATTCAGCTTTCTGTGTTTGTGTACAGTATGTGTTCAATCATGCTGACAAACATTTCTGTGTATGTAAGAATCCAGGTAAGAAATGAAATATGTACAGAAGGAACAAAAATTGGCCTCATTAACAAAGAGGAAAATAAGTCTGAGTACTATAATAATGCTCATTATAGGACTGACCATTTTTGTATAACTTTCAAAATACAAATAGGAGTTAATATTTTTCATGTTTCTGGTGTACAGAAGATCTTTCTTAAATTGATTTGCTATCTTCCCAGTGTTAAGAGCGAGGTTTCTTTTTTAAAGTGTACCTGACCTCTTGGCATCAAGATCATATTTTTATTTTAACTTGCATATGGTCCATTTCAAAAAATGCTCCGAAATAGCAATTAATCCTAATTTTTTCCATTTGATATTTATACTGTCCTAGTGTATGCTGTTTAGGCTCACGGTCAAATTGCCAAGCACAACAAGCAAGAATGTTTGATGTTTTGAATGTCATTATATGCATTTAAATAAAATGTCTGTTGAATGTTTATCTGGTAGAATCTGATTTTACCAGATTTTTTGTAACTTCCCATGATGGAATAAAAAAGAGTAAACCTTATTTCCTGAAATGAATTAGATTAATATTTCTCTTGCATCATTTTTAGTCCACGTCAATTTTGAACCAATCTTGAATACTAGACAAATAAAAAAGAAATGGCGTGGTGACAATTAGTTTTCTTTTATGTACAGAGACCACAAATCATTTATTTATTACATTTTTTATTCCACCAGTTCAGTTTTGTATATAGGCACCTTTGTGTCTCTTCTTCAAAACAAACATTCCAAAAGTTGTATTATAAAAGAGGGGTCCCCAACCCCCTGTCCGCGGCCCAGCATCGGTCCATGGCTTGGGCTGGACCGGGCTGCGGAGACAGATCTCCCACCTCTCGCACACACCTCACCCTCCATATAGCCCTTCGCACATGCATGCGAGAGCCCCCCGACCTGGTGACAATTAGTTTTCTTTTATGCACAGAGACCACAAATCATTTATTTATTAAATTTTTTATTCCACCAGTTCAGTTTTGTATATAGGTACCTTTGTGTCTCTTCTTCAAAACAAACATTCCAAAAGTTGTATTATAAAAGAGGAGTCCCCAACCCCCAGTCCATAGCCTGGGCTGGACTGGTCCGTGGAGACAGCTCTCCCACCCCCCGCACACACCTCACCCCGCGTATAGCCCCTTCACACATGTGTGCACCCTGCCCTTTGTGCATGCGCATGAGGGCCAGCCCCGCTTCTTCGCACATGCACAGGGGAGTGCCCTGCCTTCCCCAACTGGTCCATGGACTTAAAAAGGTTGGGGACCACTGCTGTAAAAGACAGACGGCCCCCTGTTGCTTAACTGTATATTACATTCCCCCCCCAGACTTGCCCAGAAATATATATGAGAAGAATTATTAGATTTATTGACTGAAATCCTGTTGTGTTGTTAAACACGTGTAGAGCAAACGACATAACAACATCCAGTTGTTCCTAGGCTGCGATTCACAGGGCACGAATGGATTCTTGGAGCGATGTCTGTGCGTGCTGACTTGGGGTGCACTTTGAGAATTCCAGTAAAGGGAATTCATTAATTGCCATTTGGAAAAGAGTAAAAGTTACTGCTTTTGCCTTCTGCATGTGCAACCAAGCAATAGGATTAGTAGCCATAGACTCTACAGTTACATTTGATTGCTCATTTCCATTTAATTTCCACCACAGAAATGAAAGGAAACTCTCTTTATTGCCATTCTTTTCATTACAACAATTTGTTATTCACTGAAGTTGCAGTTCTTAGCACCCTCTAAAAGCTTGACGTATCTAGTCGTGCTTTTTACCATAGTGGTCAAGATACAGTGGCAACCGTGGGATGAAACGGTTTTCTAAACCTCACCCAGCCCCACAAGGGACAAGCTTTAGAGTGGAACATATCTGATCCTAGAGTGTGTTTGCTAGGAGAAAACTAGGCAACACACAAGCACTCATTGGGACCGATTTATGAGCGGCAGCTTGCAATATGCAGGATCTCTCTATGTTATTTTCATTTACAGAAGGAGCTTAATTTAAGCAGGGGAATTCCCCAGAGGGAAAAAATGGTTTAAAGCAAAAATTAATGGTTGAAGCTCTATTCCATACCATAGCGCAATGTATAAAATAGAGTGAAAAGGCTAGGATGCAGGAGTCCCGAGTTTGATTTCATGCTTGGCCATGGAAACTCATGGGGCTAAGCGTGGCACTGGTTAAGTCACTCCTTCAACATCTCATTTATTTTGAAAGCCCTACTAGGGTCACTATAAGTGAGTTCCAGGATTGACAGCGCATGATGGAGACACATAATCCATAAAGCAGAGGCACTTAGTGTAGAGATTTACTCCCTCGACTCAAAATATGGGCACAGTGATGCACCCATCTTGTGCTTTAATTTCCACTCCAGATAAACACTATAGTATAACTACAGTAGCAATTCTACTAGACAGGACACCACAAGTGCTATGGAAGAATAAATGCAGGTGTTTGATAGTGCCAGTATATATAAACAGATATACAGCATAGTTCTATTCACAGTTAAATCATCTTAGTTACTCCAATCTAGTTATTTCCAGGGTGAATGAAGGCTCATTTTGTTTCTGGGGCATAGAGTTAGCTAAGCGGAGGTTGTTCCTCTTTAGGGAATGAAAAAAAGCAAAGCGTGCTGCTTATATACCGCTCCATAGCACTTAAATCACTCTCGGGGCAGTTTGCAATTTAATTGTGCAGGCTACACATTGCCCCCTTTCCCAAGCAAGCTGGGTACTCCATTTACTAACCTTGGAAGGCTGACTGAATTTTGAGCCAGTTATGCTGGGATTGGACCCAGGTCCCAAGTGGAGTTTTGGCTGCAGTACTGCAGTTTAACAACAGCACCATAAGGCTCCATCCACATGTTTGTCAGAGTTGGAAGTTAAGTTATTAAAAGGTGCCTTATGATGCCCAATATTTTGAGGGAGGAAGAGGGGTTGATACGTATTCTGATGCAGGGGGGATTGTGTGGTGTGAATTTCCTAGCTTTGGTGGTTACAGCTTTGAACACAACTTTTTCCTTTTAAACAATGTTTTTTTTTCTTTTGAAAATGTAACCTGCAAAAATATAAATTATGATGATACAGAGAGGGACATATGATGTGGGCAGCTGGAAGAGTGGCAGTCATTTATTTAACAGTTGTTGTGGAATTAACTATCCCTCAATTCTGACGGGTTGCTCTGAATACTTTTTACATATCAGAAACAATTTCTCACAGTGTAATGCTTTCTGGTTATTTAGGAGATTCTCCAGCTGTGCACCTGTTATTTTTGCGTCTTCCTTTCTTCAGACTTTATCTTGTACAGGGAATGAAGTGCCTTTTGGCACAGATATTTCAACACTGTCCAGTTGTGTGTTTTAAAACATTTTGAAATTAATAAACATCAGCATTCCTAAGGATGTTGCTACTTTATTTTGAGGTAGTTCCAATTTCTTTCCAGAACTATAAAACCTATGCACATTTGATATTAGAGGGAACAAGTGGGACCTGCAACAAGGTGTTGCAGTATGCAGTGTTCCTGTTCCATCCATCCAGGTCCTCTTCCAGGATATGCTATTCTCTTTACCTACAAGAGCATTCTGTATTCTTTAGCCACAGAATATGCTCAATATTTTGAGGCTTTGCTTGTGCCAGTCTCTTCATTCCCCTCTGCCCCAAAGCATATCAAAGTCCAACAAAGCGATCAAAGGTGTCACTTACCCTCCTTCGCTTAGACTGTTCTTCTTCAGCAGCCTTGAGTGGCTGCCACAGACCCTGTACAGCAAACCAACAATGGACATACTCCACTAAAAATAACATGACTTGTACAAAACATATTCTATTAAAATTGACATTACCTGTAACATTTCACTTCAGGAGGTAATGAGGACATAACAGCATTCCTTTTTCTTAACAAAGTAATGACTGATACTGGTTTTTTTTTAATTTTGTTTTGTAGAAAAAGTGCTATTCACTTATTTTTTAAAAGGTTGTTTCCATATCTGGGGCTGAAGGCCACTCTCAGTCCACAAGGGTACCTACATTCGTCCATGGAGAACTACATCGACCAGTCAGTGAGGCCCTAATCTGCAGGGGAAGCAATGAAATGGATGATCAAATTGTAGAGAGAGAACAGGAACATGATCACAATGGTGGAGCTGTTTACTTGGTTTCCCCCTGAAAGATATCAGATTTTAAATGGCCAATACAACCAACCTTACTAAAATGTCACCTAGTAGGATAGTGTATCTATGAAATGCTCTGACTTCCAAAAGCTGTGATCTATCGGAGATGGCGAGAAGGCCGAACCTTCAGAAAAAAACGCAAGGACCTGTTGGCTTCACTCAGATATGGCTTTAAGCCATTAACTTAGTGCAAAAAAAATGGCATTGCCTTGAAAAGTCAATTATATGCACCCAAGTGCTATAGAAGTATCTCTAGCAGTGTCAATGGATGGCAGGGGGGAGGGAGAGATTTTCTGTAGGGTACACATTTTCTAGTTATTAGGCAGTGAAATCTTAATTCTTCTAATTTCCCTCCATTTTCCACCACCTTTTCCCCCCTTTTCTTTTCATGGAGGCTAAGAAAATACACTATGGATTCTTCAAAGCACACTGCCCTTTCTTCCTTTTAATGAGGATGCAAATAAAAACCAATAGGCAGTAGTGCCATCTACTGCGTGCAAGTGAGAGATGACAGCTTGGCAACATTGCCAGTGATATGGCATTACGGAGAATGGAAATTCATAGCTCATGAACTTATCAGAGTTACACAGAAAAATCTTTCACAGCCCTATCTGGATATGCCATGGATTGAACCTGCAACCTTCGGCAAGTAGTAAAGTGTGTTTGCTACTGATCTACATTGGGAAAGGTCCTTGTATTTTATAAGTTGCTCTCTTTTAAACAAATTTAAACCGATATTAATGCATCTATTTCATTTACTTATGCCATTTAATATTATAAAAAAGTAACAATGTACACTTAATATACTATATACAATTTCCTCTCATTTTCCATTGACAAATATAAAAGGGCCAATCATTCTTAATATTTAATTTGGAGGGCCACTTATTTCCTCCTGCACTCAGTCAGGGTATAGAGCTCAAAGCTGTTTTGAGTGCTGCCCCATTTACTTTAAGGCAGTCCCAAGTAATGGTTAGTTTTATCACTTTTAACAAGAAGTCTGTCAATCCTTTTACAACTGAAAATAAGGACAATCTTCAACAAAGCACAGTAAATGCACAACAAACAATTCTCATATGGGTCTCACAATCTAAAATCAGGAGTGGAGAAAGCTGGCCAACTGGTATAGTTCTTGTACTGTCAAGACAGAAATGACTTATAGTGACTCAGGGCTTTCAAAGTAAATGAGATAATTAAAGAGTGGCTTTATCAGTTCCACATATACTCCATGAGTTTCCAAGACTAAACAGGGATTTGAACCCAGGCCTCCTGAGTCTTAGTCCATTACTCTTATCTGCTGCACCACACGGGGTATCCCAACAAATACAATACCACCTATAAATCTAGTACT